CAATTGTCAAAATTTTGGTGTCGATCATTCGATTTCATCCTGGACACTACAGAAAATGGGCTAAAAGTGTTAAAAACCGGAATTTTCCTTCAACATTGCGACCGGTAGGGCTGTCACGATAACCGCATGAATGAAATATCGCAATATCAAGATGCTCACCCCGCTACAAAACCACCCACTGCCATCACTGCATCTTGGGATAACAGTTGAGAAGGATACAATGGCAGCTGCACAGATGTCAAAACCAAATGTTACTTCACCCCTTTGGGAGCATTTCGGTTTTCAGCCAAATGAAAAAGGAGGAGCCTGACAATTTAAATGAGGCAATTTGTAACAACGAATTTAAGGGCTCATCTAGCTAGCTACCACCCAGCTGTTACGGCGTGGCTACCGCCGCCTCCTGCCACACAGAGTCGTGGGGCGGCCCATGTCGGTGCCAGCCGACAGCTTGGAGCTTGGAGTTGGGCCTGGAGCTTTACTTAGCTCGAGTCGCTAAGTAAAGCAGAGACAATGACAGACATAAATGTCTCACAGCTGCTGTTACACGGTACCGGGTTGAAGAGATGGTGCCATTTTCCACTGAGGAGAAACATGCATTCCAGTCGCTCCTCTAATGAGCGCACCGTCCAAGAGGGTTTTCAGTGTCGCTGGAAAAGTTTTCACCCCTCTCAGATCCTCTCAAACCATAAGGTTAACATGCTGGTTTTACTTGCCCGCTACAAGGACATGGCTGAGCTTTAAATCACCGTAATTTGTTTGTGTGTGAACCAAGAATTATGGCGCCTGTTAAATTTAATTTTGTATAGGCGTACTTAATAAAAAAAAAAAAAATGGGCACTTGTTTTTTTTTTTTAATTAAAGATGCTGAAGTCAAATTTGCCTTTAAAAATTCAGCCTTCTTCTGAATTTTTATAAGTTCAGTCAGAGAAATGAGGCATATCTGTGCCATCACTGCCCTTTGATCTGCATTCAATAAAGTTTATAAAATTGCCATGTCTGTTTTTATAACCTTTTTTATGTTTAAGCGGCATGTTTCAAAGGAAATGTAGCCATGTAGTTGGTAATTTAACAATATACAAACACATTTGCAAAAGATGGTGCAATAATATTGCATATTGCAATATTTAGCCTACTTGAATATTCGCAGGGGGAATTCCTCAACCACGACAGCCAGGGGCGTCTCTAGGTTTAAGAGACAAGGGTGGCTCAGCCCCTAGAAGATATTGCGCGCGCACAGCGCGCGCCAAAATTTTTTCAGTGCACCTGCTAAGGCGTTGTCTAAGACAAGGGTGTTACTTTGTTTTGAAAGTTGGTGGGGACGGCTCATAAGGAAAGGGAGCTACCTGTGTTTAAATTAATCAATCACTGCTGCGAAAGCTTATAGCAGTGAAAGCTAATATACCAAAGCC